GGGCAAATGGCCTGGTGAGCTGAAGTGGGGCTGGATGTCTTAGCTGGGAAGCTCTTGTAATGCCCTGAACAAGCCTATGTGGTATCCCAGAACCATCACCCAGAATTCCAAAGACTCAGTAATGGCCTTTTAATGACTAAGCGGTGCTGATGCTGGTGAATAGAGGAATCTTGGCAATCAAGGAACAGCTTGCCATAAATCTAAAAATGGGTTGCCAAAAGCTCCTTGTTTTCTCTACTCCGGATGAAGAAGCAACCACAGGAGCCAGAAATGAATGGCTGAGAGGATCTTTGTCTGGCATCTTGAGATGCAGAAGCCAGTGAAACCCAGACACACAATCCAAGCCAAAGCCACCATTCAAAACCAGACTCATTCATCTTGACATCCCGTGTCCAGTTCAGAAAGCCAGGATGCTTTGGGGCCTTGACATAGAACAGAACAACAAGGAGCCTGGAGTACTGCAGCTCAGGAGTGCAGGCAGCCTGATCAGGCCAGACCCAGGGCGTCCTCAGCATACACACTGCTTCATAGGCAGATGACAGCGCACTGGAGACACCGGCTTTGGGAAGTGACCTGTTAAGGTCCTGGACACCACTGCACAGTGTCTGCCTCCAAGTACGAGATAAGCATAGGAGTCGTAGTCAGGGAAGAGAGCTGGAAGAGGTACTCACTTGGTTCCCAGGGTACACGGTTCCATGAAGCAGTACTGCATCTTGTTTGTGCCCCTTGAGTGCCGAACAACAGTCAGTGATGTGGCATGGGGGTCATTTGCTCTGAGACTGTGGTCATAGATAGAGGAGCAGCGTTGAGATAGGGGGATGGCCATCCATGGGCCGAAAGGACGGAGGCACATCACAGGCAGTACCTGAGCATGGCGTAAGTTTAGTCACACTGGTAATTATTATTGGTGTTAAGTGTCCCGATAAGACCACCAAGCTTCTAAATCTGTACTAGGGCTGTCCTTACAGCACCCCACTTTTACCATCCTTGGAGATGGGGAACACTCCATCTCTGGGGTACAGAGGAGTGAAACACCTTAACAAAGACCCCACAGCTCCCACACAGTGGCGGAGCTGGGTCTAGTGCGCTGTAGTCTGACTCCAAAGCCCAAAGCCCCCAGCATGACCACATGGTACAATACTTGACTCCCAGAAGGACTCTCAGTATGTAAAGATAAAGGGTGAAGGGGTTTGGATCACCTATGTGTCTCTTAAGTCACAATGGGCCTTTGAAATCATAATCGTAAGTGATGGGCATGTTTCCCACCCATCTATGCATCAACACACATGTAGATATGTATTCAAGGAATATTTATCAAACTCTGCTCTTTGTCTTCCTTGTTCCATTTAATATCCCCAGCAGCTTTGAGGAATGATTTATGGCAGATAGGTTCCAAAAACAGCTACAACTTTCATCTTTCCTCTCTCTTGTCTTTGTGGGTGAAGTGTGTGTGTGTGTGTGTGTGTGTGTGTGTGTAGTGCAAAGGTCAACCTCAGGGTCATTACTCAGGCACTATGCACCTTTTTCAAAATCAGGGTTCTCTTGCCAAGTAGACTGGAGCCTCAGGGATCCACCTGTCTCTGCCTCCTCAGAGGCTGTGGTGATTTTTAAGTGAGCTATTTTCTCAGTCCTCACTGTCTTCGACAACACAACTTTCTCAATTCTACCATTAGGAGGTAGGATCTATGGAGCCTCACTTTGACTTTGGCCTGTTTGTGAGTTGCTTTGACTAATAGCAGGCAGTGAAAGATTGGTTAGTAGATTGGTAGATCGGAAGATAGACAGGTAGATAGATAGATAGATAGATAGATAGATAGATAGATAGATAGATAGATAGATAGACAGATAGACAGAGATAGATTGATAGATGATAGATAGATAGATGATAGATGATAGATAGATAGATAGACAGACAGACAGATAGATAGATAGAGATAGATTGATAGATGATAGATAGATAGTAGATAGATAGATACATAGATATATAGATACATAGATAGAAATAAGTAGATTTACAGAGAGATGGTTAGATTTAAGGAAATATCCCATGTGATTGTGGAGACTTGAAAGCCTAAAATCTGCTGATGGCTAACTGTAGCTGGAGTTTTCTCCAGTCCTGCCCAGGCCTGCAGCTACTCATGTCCAAATAAACACACAGAGTCTTATATTCATTAAAACTGTTTGGCCTAATGGTTCAGGCTTCTTGCTAGCTAGATCTTACACTTAAATTAACCCATATTTCTTATTTATGTTTAGCCACGTGGCTTGGTACCTTTTCCCAGTTCTGCCTGCACATCTTGCTTCCTCTGTGTCTGGCTGGTGACTCCTGACTTAGCCTTCGTCTTCCCAGAATTCTCCTCTCTCTTTGTCCCACCTATTCTTCCTGCCTGGCTACTGGCCAATCAGCACTTTATTTATTAACCAACCAGAGCAACACATTCACAGCATACAGAGCAATATCCACAGCAGCTAACTAGCTGAAGACTGGGGAAATGCCAAGGTTCAATTCAAAAGTTCAATCCCAAAGACTGCTGAAGAATTCTCTCTTGTTCAAGTTATATCCTGTTGGTGAAAGTTTCTCTGTCCTAACTGCTTGCTTTCAAATAACCGGCAGCTGCTTCCCAAATAGCTGACTCAGAGACTTAATGGATGTTATAAATGATCGGTCAATAGCTCAGGCTTGTTACTAGCTAACTCCTACGTTTAAATTAACCCATATTTGTTATCTATGCTTTGCCACATGGCTCTTGGCTTGTTATCTCAATTTCTACATGTCCTCCTTCTCTGGCGGCTGGCTGGCTGGTGTCTCCTCTGACTCCACCCTTCTTCCTCCCAGCATTCTCAGTTTGGCTGTCCTGTCCATAGTTTTTACTTGGCTACCAGCCAATTAGCGTTGTATTAAACCAATTTGAATAACAAAGCTTTACAGTTTACAACGGGAATATTCCACAGCAAAATCCATCTTTTTTTCTATTCAATTCTTCAACTGATTGGACAAAGCTCACCACCTTCCATAATGGAAGGCAACCGACTCCACTCAGTGTTTACCAATTTAATTGTTAATTCCATACAAAACACCTCACAGTGACTTGTGACCAAGTATCTAGGCCCCATGGTCCAGCCAAGTGACATATAAAATTAACCATCACACTGAACCCTCAACCACCAACATGCTACACTGGAGTGATTCCTGATGATATCACAGGGAACCAAAGAACCACCCAGCTGAGCTGTGCCCAATGGCTGGCTTCCAGAATCATGACTTTCAGGCTGAGCTTTAGGCTGTTCAGGATACAGCTTTGTAAGCCTGACAACTGCTGGTAGTATTTACTATTTGATGACATTAAAATGTAAACAAACATATAGTTGTTGCATATTAAGAACAGAATCAGGCATGGCCTTAAGTGCTGAGACACCCGGTGCGGCCTGAACAAGCAAGTATGTGGTGGAGAGATTGGAGAGAAAGAGAAGCAAAGTGGTTTGTGTACTGTGAAGAGAGATGGAACTGGAGATGCTAGGGTGGTGAGGGACTATGTGAGAGGCCTATGCTGCCACCTGAGGCCATGGTCTGGGCCTGTGCTGCTGCCAAGGGCCATGTCTAGGTCTGTGGTCCTACTGCAGCCGTGTGTGTGTGTGTGTGTGTGTGTGTGTGTGTGTGTGTGTGTGTGTTGATGACCATGGCCAGTGTTACCACTGAAGACTATGCAGATGTCCATGGTCTGTAATGCAGCCTGAAGCCATGTTCATGTTCAAGGACTTTGCTGAGCTGGCTGCTCCCTGTGGTGATGTATTGTGTCCCAATAAAATAAAACCTGCCTAGAGATCAGAGGAAAAAGCCAGCCACTATATAGAAGTCAGGCAATGGTAGCACACGCCTTTAATCCTATCACTAGGCAGGCAGGGATTTGTCTGGATCTCTGAGTTCAAGGTCACACTGGGAACAGAGCCAGGCATGGTGACACATGCCTTAAATTTCAACACTAGTTAACCGTGGAGGTCTGTAGGTCTGCACAGACAGACAGGAAGTGACAGAGCTGGGTAGGAAGAGGAAGTGATGTAGCTGGACAGAGAGAAAAAATCAGATGGCAGAACAGCAAGGCAGATAGACGTGGGTAGACAGGAAGTCGCTCACCCTTTTGGAAGCTGCAGAGTTGGTGAGATGAGGTTGGCTGTGGCTTTTCCTATTTCCCTGATCTCTCAGGTTTTCACCCCTACATCTGGCCCCATGTTTTTTTTTTTTTAATTTAATAAGACTGTTTAGAAATTCGTCTACAGTTTGCTGAGCTGGCTGTTGTCCTCACCAGCTACCACACTGCAGCGCTGCCCAGGAGAGCTGGTCCCACCCCTTGCCTGGCCAGTGGGAGAGCTGGCTCTGGTGGTGTGGGTGTAGGAGAGCTGGTCAGCTGACCAACTCAGCTACCACCCAGGCCCAGATCTAGGACTTTTGAGTTGGCCCACCCCAACATCTGCCCCACCTAGGAGCAGCTGGACCGCATGAATGGGCTGGTCCTGCAGAACCACAGCCGCAGGATCTCCGTGGCTCAGGGCAACAGCAGGATGTCAGAGAGTCCCTATGAGGGTCCAGTATTGATGGTGCAGCAGAAGCCAGAGGCCTGGAACTAGACTAACGAGTCATTGCAAGGAACATTTACAAGTAAAGCTGTTTGGGGAAAAATTATACACTGTGTGACACTCCACAACTTCCAAGACCACTATGATGAACGAAAATGTAAGGAGATGTGGGAAAGCTGGAGGAGCAGAATGGTACATGCACAGAAGGCCGTGGGTGAGAGAGGAGCAGTCATTGCCCAGAGGAGTCGGCAAGGTAGTTTTCTGTTTGTCTGTTTGTTTGTTTTGTTTTCTTATTTTTCCTTTGGGGGTGGAGGGGGTTGCAAAGGTAGAGGGTGGATATGGAAGGACTGGGGCATGAGAGGGGTGGGGTGCATGACGCAAAACTCTGAAAGATTCAACAAAAAAAAATTACGTTAAAAAGAAGAGACTCAGTTCCCGAGTGCCTTTACTGAACACAGAGGACAAAGCTCCCATGGCGCAGGCAGACTGCCTCCTTTTCTAGGCTCTGACTCACTGGCAGCCATGTCTGGACACATCCCCGAGCTGTTCGGGGCCTGGATTTCTCCATCTGTGAGATGGGCAGGGTTGTGCATTCTCTCTGCCTCGCCGGCTCTAGGGATGAAGACGAGAAAGGAGGAAGAAAAGTGCTGGGATTTCGGAAAAGTCCTGCAAGCTGCTGCATAATCAAATAAAGTTTCCATAGGCCCCAGATGCAAGATAGATAGATAGATAGAATTTCGGAAAAGTCCTGCAAGCTGCTGCATAATCAAATAAAGTTTCCATAGGCCCCAGATGCAAAATCACTTTACTATGCAGTTCTGAAAAGGAGCCATCTGGCCCGGGAAACCTAAAGGAAGCTGCAACCTTTCTGACCAAAGCGATTTTGTCTAATAGCTGGTCCCAGGAGTCTTCTCATGCTGCCCTGATTCACCCACCAACTCAAGTCCACTCAGAAACACGTCAGCTTTGTGTTTGCTCAACATCTGCTGTGCCTATTTTTACTATTGACCAGAATAGACAAGGAAGCCTTTTAAATTACCCTTCTAAATAGTAGCTACCCCCCCACCCACTCACCAGACATTCCAGCAAAAAGTATAGAATGTCTTATTTAATTGCAGTTACAGTACAAACTGCTGTACAGAGTTGTGGAGGGATTTTAGACACAGCCACATTAGGCTACAGTTAGTCTACAAGTGAGTGAGATCCTCCCTGGGTGATGAGATAGCAAACCCAGGAGCCAAATCCAGTCACATCCAGTCTTCATGTAGAAACTTCTACTGATAGACCACAGCCCTGTGTGACCACTGGGGTGGTCAATATTGATCACCAAGTAGACAAGATCTGGAATCAGCCATGAGTCAAGCCCCCCTGGACACACCCATGAGGGATTTTGTTGATTAGGTTACTTGTAGTGGGAAGACCCACCCTAAATGGGGGGGGGGGCTCCTTCCACCAGTGGCCCAGAAATAAGGAAGTATGAGCGAACAGATGTGATTTTTGCTTGCTTTAGCGTCTCACTGCCGAGTTCATCTACCCTGTTCAAGAGTTCATCTACTCAGTTCCCCCAGCGCTGTTTCCCCCCTCCCTGCTCTGTGCATGGTCTTTGTAGACTGCTGAATGAGGTCGAAGCGTTTCCCTCCCTGCACGGGTGCCCTTCCTCAGAGAGCTTCCCTCTCCCCCAGGCCAAGGTTCCCAGTGCTCAGAAATCAGAACAGCCATCTAAGTTCTGGTCTCTCTGCATGTCCCCAGACAAGTGAGTGTCCTTATCCCTGTTCCCCATTTCCTCCCTTCTCGAGTCCAAATAGCTGCCTCAGGATCAGGTCTGCCAGGCAAGAATAAGAAGGATGGAGCTCTGGAGAGACGGCTCGGTGGATAAAATACTTGCCACACAAGCATGAATGAGACCAAAGATGGATCCACAGATGCCGGGCAGGCATGGCAGCCACCTTTAATCCATTCCAAAGGAGGCAGAGGTAGGAGATCCTGAAGCAAGCTGGGTAATTAGACTAGCCAGTCGGAGAGTGCTGCATATGACTGGGATTGAAATAAAGTAAATAAAAGGAGGGCGAGGGCAATGGAAGAAGACACCCTAAATCTACTTTGGGCCTCCACAAGCATGCATACATATGTGCTTGTGTGTCTGCACACACTTTACATGCACACGCGCACACGCACACACTTTACACACACACACACACACACACACATACAGAGACAGATACACACAGAGAGGAACAGCAGCATAGAAGTGTGTCTCTGGTTCTGTCTCCAGGCAAGGATCAGACCTTCCACTGTCAAAGTTCCAATCTGCTCCCTGTCTCAGGAGATAGGCCAGAGCCTTGCCCTCTGGCTGTCTGTCTGGGGTCTCAGTGCTACTCCAGAAATGCAGGAATCAGTCTAATCCTGCCTTCACTTCCCAAGGACAGCCCCTGCGGCTGCAGGCACAGCGCTCATTATTCTGGCATGCTCACAGGGCAACCTGCTTTCCCCAGAGATAACGAACCTGGATAACTTACTTCAAGACGCCTCGATGCACTTCAAGGCATTATTTTGGAGCTGGGCTCACTGGCCATGTCTGTGACTGGTAGGAGATAGGTGAAACAGAAATGTGGGGGTTGGAGTGCCCTCACAATGCCTTTGAGCTATGGAGACAGTGAACAGGTGTGGAGAAAGAGGAAACGGTATGGGATGGGGTGACGCTGTGACTTTACCTCAGGCCATGGCCAGTCCTGAGAGCCAGCCGAGAATGCTCAAAAAGCAAGGAGTTGTCTGTCTTCAGACAAAGGCCACAGGAGGGAGCCTTAGACTTCCGGACTAAGTGGTGATCTCGGTCACTTTGGGGGTAGAGAGGCAGCAGAGAAGGGTGTGAACGCAGCAGAATGGCACCGGGGAGAACTGGAAGGGGGTGCCGTGTGCACGCACGCAGGGCAGTCAGCCTCTCACTCCCGGGTCTTCTCTCCACCTCGGGCTCCTGGTTTCCTCGCTGGGCATCCGACACTTCCGCCCTCCCAAATCCCGGACCATGGCGCCGGCCACTCACCCTCTCACCATGAGTTTGCAAGCTGTGATTTTCCTCTTCCCCCTTGAGTCTCTTCCCTCTGAGGAAGGAAGGCACGGAGGGGCCCGGGAACTGCCCATCCAAGAACATTTTCAAACGCTCTGAAAAATACACCCGAGCAAGGGGAACGCATCAGACTGTGTTGGAAGGATCTCAGACAGACAATTGCAGTGAGACTTATTCGTCGGGACCATCAGCTCCCCGATAATGACATGGAGACATTATTAATTATGAAAGCTGAGCCGACGGCTTAGGCTTGCTCCTAATTAGCTCTTATAGCTTAAATTAACACACACACACACACACACACACACACACACACACACACACACACATATATATATATATAATTTTTGGTTTTTCAAGACAGAGAGATGGCTCAGCCATTAAAGGCTAGGCTCACAACAAAAAATTAACTCATATTTTTTAATTTAAATTCTTTTTCAGGGTTTCTCTGTGTAGCTTTGTGCCTTTCCTGGGACTCACTTGGTAGTCCAGGCTGGCCTCGAACTCACAGAGATCCGCCTGGCTCTGCCTCCCTAGTGCTGGGATTAAAGGCGTGCGCCGCCACCACCGCCCGGCTTAAATTCTTTTATGTGGCTTGATTACCATCACTCTGTACTCCCATCCTGCTTCCTTTCTGGCTGGCTGGTGACTCCCTTTTCTCCCCCCCCCCCTCAGCATCCTCTGTGTCTGGAAATCCTGCCTAGCTATCGGCCATTCATCTTTTTTATTAAACCTATCACCGTGGCACATCTTCACACCGTGCGAAGGAATATTCCACAACAAGCAACCTAAAACCCACCCCAGAAATGAAAGGTCTTGCCTCTTGTCTGAGATCCCTGGGCATCACTAAACAGCTGCACGGAGGTCTGCGGTTCCTTCCAGAGGGGAGGCAGGACGGGAGGAAGAGATGGGAGTGAGCATAGATGTATCGCTAAGAGACTTCCTGTTGCATGGAACAGGTAGAAATGGGCTGAAACCATAGGCGTTTCTTTTTCTCACGTAACAGCGGTTAAGGGAGCCGAGTCAATGGTTCAGCCATCGGGGCCTCTCTCAGAATCTCTTGAGACTATTCCTCATTCATGCAAGAGGGTTGCCAAAGCTTCATATAAACTGCCTTGACCCCACCCCCCAAAATGTGCTAGAAAGAGTGAGATGTGGATTTTCATATATGCACTTACTTCTCTTGGTTACATCTTGCCCAGAAGGCCCACAGCCGAGTTCTCTTCAAGCATAGCTCACCAGTGTTGCCAGAGCAGGCAGTGAGAGCCTGCTCTTCCTGCCCCTGGGATGGGAATAGACTCTGTTGGCTGGGAGAAGGTAGAGAGACTGGCTGCTGCATGACGGGCAGACAACAGTGTCTGCCACAGCCAGCCTCTCCTAGACCTTCCTCTGAGTCCTGCTAGCCCTGCCTTGGATATGACCTAAAAGTGGCTCCCAGTGGCAGGCCCAGAGAAATCTAGAAAGTCTCCCATGCACATTCCCACAGGCTGTTTCCTCAGGGATCCTAGACCCTGTCAAGCTGATAATCTATATTAACCATCCCAGCGGGTTACCTTATTTGGAGACTGAGCAGTTCTATAGGTAATTAAGTAAAAATGAATTCACTGGAGTGTGCTCTCTAATTCAGCATGGGCCTTATAAACAGAAGTTTGGACAGAAACACCCATAACTGAGAGACAGGATGAGGACATATGAAGGCAGGCATGTATACAAACCCAGGAGGAAGGCTTCAGAAAGCCCCTCCCTCACAGCCCTGAAGGGAATCAATCCAATCCACATCCTTTGGGTTTTGTTTGTTTGTTTTGATACAGGATCTCACTATGTAACCCAGGTTACCTTAGCTTTGTGGTCTCCCTGTCTCTGCCTCTGGAACACTGAGGTTACAGTCCCATAGGTTACAGTCCCATAGCAGCACGTCCAGATCCTATCAACAGCTTGCTCTTAGATTTCCAGCATGCAGAACAGTTTGCTTAAGTCGCCGAGTGAGTCTGTGTTCTTTGTTACAGCTGTTCTGGCAACCTAATGCAAAGAATATAGGCGGTCAGCAAATAAACAGACTCCCAGGTGACTTCACAAAACCAAAAGGATGGTAGTCAGGGCTCTGGAGAGCAAGAGGGCAGACTGAGCAGAGATGCTGGCCAGAGAGCAGAGATGCAGCGACATTTCACAGATCTGGAGGAAGTGAGGGAGCAGGATAAAGGACACTGAAGGAAAAGGTGGTTTGCAGGACAGCCTAGCGTGTCCCACAGGTGGGAGCATGTGCGGTACGTTCAAGGAATGACAAAGAGGCCAGTGAAGTTACAGCAAAAAAAACCAGGTCCAGAGGGACAGGGCAGGATGGAGAGAGAAGGGACCACAGGACGTGAGCTGACGTCATGGACAACTTTGAATTTTTCCTTCTCGTTTTCCTCTAAACGAGAAGAGAGTCCTGCAAGGTTTTGAGCAGAGGGCTGATATAACATGGCATGGTACTTTAAAAGCCCTTAGCTGGCTTTTAAGGAGAGCAGAGAGAAAGACGGATGTGGAAGAGTCAAGGGTGGGTATGATTAGCTGAGGGATGAGAAAAGGAGCCGTCAGGATGGCCGAGGTCAGACTGCAAAGGGGGCGAGCAGATGTTGACATCAGCATAAGGTACAGGAGAGATGGTGTCCCTCTTGCCTAGTGAGAGGTGCCACACCCCTAGACATGCAAATGGTGGGAAGCTGGATACAGGAGTCTACACAGGGGAGAGACGTGTGACCAAATGTAGGCCTGCCGAGTCCCTGGGTCCCCGATCTAGTGCTCCTCTGACCCTGCCATGACTCATGGCAATCTCCCCCTCAGGCAGAGTGTGAGGACATATGCTGCCTGTAGAGGTGGATTTCCATGGCTTCCTGGAGTGGAGAGTCTAGTTAGTTTGGGCTATCCCCTAACCGGCTGGTTGCCTATGGGCAGCCTGGTGAACTCCCTTACTCAGAGGCCATTTTTCCCTCTGTGGTGCAGTCAACATCTGCCCTGACACCCTACAAACCTCATCCAGCAGGTATTAAGAATATACCTCCTGTTATGCTTTATAATAATCACTGAATAAAAAGACACAAGGCTTGTAAATCCAGTGAGGAAAGACCGACATACAAAACGCAAATAGATAAATGCATAATTAAAACCAATGGGATATTGGACACCAAGGCCTGTCTCTGTCACTTCTAGAACAGCCTTGAAGGTCTCCTTTGCTCACACAGGATCCACCCCATCTGTGGGCCTCTGCCTTTTGGATCCCATAGTGTTTCCTCATGCCCTGAGACGCTGGAGGTAAGAAGGCTGTGAGTTCATTAGGCTCTGTAACCCTTCAGTGTCCAGAGCTTTTGTCAGGAGCTGGGGTGCTTATCTGCGATGCTCTGGTGATAGCATGCAGCAGGATGAGCCAGTGAGTCTATGGAGCCATTGCCCTCCCTCGGCCTTCCCACAGCAGGGCCAGAAGAAACCACTTCAGACTGGCTTTTGCTAATCTCCATTTAGAATCCTCAGCCCTTGCATGAATCACTTTTTTTCCCCTTCACCATGACAAAATACTTAAGAAAAAGTCAACAGGATATCTCAGTGGATAACAGACACCAATCTTGAAAAGCTGAGTTCAACCCCAAGGACTCACAAACTTACACACACACACACACACACACACACACACACACACACACACACAGTGGCACATCCTCACACATCACATTCATACACACACATACACACACACACACAGTGGCATATCCTCACACATCACATACATACACACACACACACACAGTAGCACATCCTCAGACATCATACTTGCACACACACAATGAACAAATAAACAAACAAATGTAAAAATATTACAACTTGAAGAAGGATTTCTCTTGGTTCCTGGATTCAGAGGCTTCATGGTCAGCCTGCACCATTGCCATGGGCCTGTGTTCAGGAAGATCATAGTAACTCAAGCAAGAGAGAGGAGGCTGCTCATCTCATGGGAAGCAGAGACAGACAGGAGAAGGGTCCAGAGACAAAACAGACCCTTCAAAGGTGCGTCCCCAACTGTCTACTTCCTCTAATCAGAACCTCCATGGCTTCTCCCATTCCCAACAGTTCATTCAGCTCCTGGTGAGCCCATTCATGGATTAAGAGTCTGCATAAGTTAGTGCTGCGGGCCGCAGGAATATATCATAAGAACTCAGCTGGTTATGGCAAAGTCACTACCTGGAGGGATCATGGAATTCCTCCAGAGGAAGCCAAATCCCAAGGAGTTTTTGGTGTTACTTGGCTTGTTATATATCAGCTGTCTTCTGTTATGAAAATCATGTGTGCCTTCATAGTTTTCCCAATTGATTTTTCCCTAAGAAGGGCTAACAATGTGGACTGATCACTCTCTACAGATACACATTCCAGGTAATTGGAGAACAGCCTCAGGAAAGGCTTTCTCTGGAATCAGATTATCTCCCTTGGCCACTTTCAAGGACTATAGGGACCACCACCCAGGTGGGCGCCCATTGTTAGTCCCAGGGTTAGGGTTAGGGTGGACTAACAATGATAACAGCCCACATGCAAGTCTCCTGACTTACAGTAAATTCCACAAGGAGACACCGCCTAGGAGAGGTGGACGTTGAGTAATAGCTTTACACAATTTAGCTCGGACCCTCCCTTTATATACCGAGACTTCCAGGAGGCAGAGGGGAAGAGAGAAGAGAATGGAAGAACTAGATGGGTAAGAACTTGAGAGGAACAAACTGAGATGGGGAAGAAGTAGATTGAAGGGCTACAGGAGAGCACTAGAGGAACGAGATGGAAGATGAGAAAGAGCCAGATGGGGAAGAACAAGATGAAGTAGAATGAGAAGATGAGAGAGAAGGAGACGGGAGAGGAGATGATATGGGAAGGAACAAAATGGATGAGAACCTAGAAGGGGCAGAATTAGATGAAGGAATTAAGATAGAACCTAGAGGGGATCATAGACAAGTGTAGAGAGAAATCAGGCTAAAGATGACCTAAATATGAGAGCAGAATATAAGCTTATAACTGTTAGAGAATAATAAAGTATATGGACTAAGGAGTTTCATGTACATAGATTCATTTCTTTTCATCAAAGATTAATTGTCAGCTGGTTGTAGATTCTTCCTGGACCCTGGGAGGGGACTATCGAGGGGCTGGACCCCCATAGTCGCCAATAAGTTAGAGTTTGCACAGTCCAGTCACTTCTCAACAGAGCCACTGTCTGGGACCAACTCTTCAGCGCATGAGCCTTGAGGGACATTTCCTAGCCAAGCCACAGCATCCCGTTCAAGAAGTCTGACTTTGCTGGCCCTGGGTACAGATGAGGGCATTCCCCAGCCCCATTCATGTGGAATAAGATGGAAAATTCTGGTTTCTGCAGAAAATACATTTCCCAGCTTCGTAGGTTGTTTGGAAATGGAGTGACCATGGTGCTAACAAGCTGAGAACCTTGCTTTCTTTGCTGAGAAATGGAAAAAGGGCAAGCCAAGAAATCAAAGTCCCCCATTTTTGAGAGCTGGAATCCTTTCTCTCATTCTGTTACTTTAAAAAAAAAAAAGTCTCCAAAAATGCTCACATGAAGGCAGCATCACTCCATGGCTTCGGTCCCAGAGTGAATAAAGAGAAAAAGCTGAGACGACACCAACATTGTCTTTGCTTCCTGGGTGTGAACGAAATGTGACCAGCTCCTGAAATGCCTGCTCCACCATGATGGAGTCCTCTCAGACTGTAAGCCGGTGGTTCTCAACCTTCCTAAGGCTGCGACCTTTAATGCAGCTCCTCATGTTGTGGTGACCCCCCACCACCACCATAAATTTTTTTCCTTGCTACTTCATAACTGTCATTTTGCTAGTTATGAATGCGATGATAATGTAAATATCTAATATGTGACCCCAAAACGGTTGTGACCCAAAGGTTGAGAAATGCTGTTCTAAGCCAAAGTAAAGCTTTCTTATGCTGTTATCATCAGGTATGTAGTCATAGCGATGAAGAAAATAATAAACCTTCCGAGGCGTGGGTGCTCAGGACTTCAAAACGTGAGTCTTGGGGGAAAACATTCAACCTTTATCTCACCTTAGAATAGGACTTTCTTCCTCCGTGGTAGAGGAAGCACTCATTAATCTTTTATGAGTGAATCAATATGCAAATATCCACCATTTTACTACCAACTTCATTATCTCTAGCAACTGGAAATCGTTATCAGTTATTTCTGCACATCCACAGGTTACTGAGAGCTGATACTCATAATGATATCCTGGAAATACGTGCAGCTTCCAAGGGCCGTTTGAGCAATTGGACGACATCACATGAAGCTCGGTGTAATTTTAATGCTGGGGATGTGCCGTTGTGTTTTTCTAATATAAAAACCAGTCATTGATAAATGGGATTTATGTTAATCGCCAAATATTTACAATGCTTGTTTCTACTCTAATCCAAAAGAACATGGGGGCTTAAGTAGTGTGCCCGAAATAGGATTTCAGTAAAGTAAGAATAAAAATAGGCAAAACAGAATGAAGCAGAGCAAAGCACATGGGCTAACCGTGGGAGTCATTGCAACTGCCTACTGCAGCATGAAATTGTATTTAAAATGGTGTGCAACCTGACAGCAGATGCAACCAATCCCTCAGAGGCCGGCTTGCACCAGTTCAGAAGACAGAAGAGTGGGCCTTAAATAAAATGCCCACGTTTCCACACTGGCAGTCTAAAAAGCACAGGGTCTGCCGTGGGGTTAGCATTTCCCGCCATGAGTTCTGATGCATTCAGGGTGCTTCTTACAGCCAGCATCAGAAAAGCCCGTCAGCACCACGGAAACATGATCTAGTCCAGGCTGTGGCTGAGGTGTGTGGTGAAACGCCAAGCCCTCCACCTGAGGAGAGCATAGGCTATCTGGCGGGGTACTGGTCTCCCCGGCCCCCTTGGGATTTCTCCAAAGACCTCATTCCTGTTCCGTGGAGTCCCTTGCAACACCAGGCTCTCTAGCATGGTGGTCAGAGGAGGTGGCTGGAGTTGAACCCAG